GGGACAGGTCAGGGGTCGTGGTGGAGTCGCCGGGCCACGACCAGTATCGGGTCAGGGTTGACGGTTCGGGACGTTTGACACTGCGCAACCGGCGTTTCCTCCGTGCCTATACGCCGGCCACACCCTGCGCCCGTGAGCAGCCGGCTGCGCCGTTGCCGCCGCCCGCTGCTCTGGGCCATCAGCCCCCACCTATCCACCCGGGCTGGGCGACGCCCCAGGGGATTGCTTAGCGGCCGGCTGTTGGAACCCGCGACTCGGCTATGGGCGCTTCCCCACCGGCACCTGCCGGTGAGGCGTCCTCTGACCTCACCGTTCCTACGGGTGCCTTCCTGGGCGCACCGGTGCCGCAGTCGCCGCCGACGCTGCCCCAGCCTACTCGGCCAGGTCGCGTGAGGAGGCCGCCTGCACGTTACGAGCCCGAGTCCGGCAGCTGGATTTAGACCGTTAATCTATTCCGGCCCATAGTTTTCCGGTCTGGGGGGATGAAGAGTTTATCGCCGGCCACTAGAGGGCAGCGTCACTGCTGTCGCTGTCCGGATATGCCGTGCTTTGACCCGGAAGTGCCGAGCGGCCATTTTAGTTCACATGTTGTTCATTCACTCCGCCTCGAGTTGAGACGTTCATCCACTCACTCATGTAAGACTGTTTCCACTATTGTTTGGTGTGTCTTTACTCTATGTAATTGAATATATGTGTATTGGTCATGACATGCATGTATGTAGTACTTTGTCAGCTTATCCTGCGGCATTGCTCTGTTTCAGGGTGTCGTCATCCTTGTCATTAAAGTACTGAAACTGACATTGAGGAGTGTGTTTCTTCACAAAGGGCTTCTATCAGTGTGAGACCGACAGGTGGTAAAAATATCTCTGGGTTGGTCGATGGTACATGTCTCTTTTTATAGCGGGTAAACATTTCCCTTACTTGGTTTTTGCAATGCTTGCCAGTAAACAAGTAAAACAGACCCTGTGGTCACATCTTCAATTACTCATCATTCAAGTGTCAAGATAATTGTCCCTATTTCTGAAGAAAATGTCATTTCTTCTTATTATATGTTCACTTCCCTAATTAATTTTGAGCTTAAAGTATACATATCATTATTTTTCATGATGCTTATTAAGTTATAAAGTATGTTGACACCTCAGCTATTAACCACTACTTATATTATAAGTTAATACATCTAGCTTTGTTTATGTTGTTTTTACTCTGAATTAGATAGATAGATAAAAAAGCATGATTGTATTTAGGCATGACTCTTATAACGACATATTTTGACATTCTGTTTACTGTATTTCAGGATTCCTTTCACCATGTGTGCATGAATTGATATAAATGTCTGCTAATTTATACTAATATTTACGCTAATTTCATCTTTAGTTTGTCACCTATAGTCAAATTGGGATTTGAGATCGAGGTCAAAACACTTAATTTCCATCTTTTGTTATTCAGATATTATCTTTTAAATAAGACACAGGAAAAATGGCTTGCTGTTTAACAAAGAAGATTTATTCCAAATGACATTTAAATCAATAATAACAGTATTAACCAATAGTTAGCATAACGAGTCGATTTTATTTTATTTATTTTGAAGATGAAAGCATTTTATTTTCAAAGTTTCAGAGTTGCTCCAACATCGTAGACTCAGGCAAGCGCTCGCTCTCGGTCAAAAGCTTGTTGGTCCATCGCTTCCTGCACCTTCATCGCTTCCCTCATCGCTTCCTTCATCACTTCCTGCTGCCTAGGGGTTTCCCCGCTGAGGAGTCTGATGATGAAGAGAGGATTCAGAGAGTTCAGTTCAGATGTTTAAAACCAAGCCAACAAGAGCACTTTAAAATGAGAGAAATATCAAGGAGTGGTCCTTACCCATGGATATGATTGCCAACTAAAAAGAGAACAAACGAAAAAATACATGCATTATTATTTGTAATTTAATGAATCATAAAACCTTGTAAGGCCTTTTAAACATTCATTAACATATTGCAGGTTCAACATGAGTAATACAAAACATTATTTGTCCCTTATTGGTCTAAAAACGTATTTTATTAAATGTTATCTTAAAGTTGGTTCCTATTTGATTAAAAAAATAAGTAGCTTGGCTTTTAATATATGATAAATGTTGTATCCTATTTTCAAATATTGTTATGTGAAATTTTATTTTGACTTTGTATCTTTGCCAAGAATCTTTGAGCAAAAAGCACTATTATTATTATTATTATTATTATATATAATATATTATTATTTGTATTTGTATTTTATGTACTTATTTATTGTTATTATTATTGTATTATAATTATTAAAGAATCTTTAGATATCTGACAGTTTTCAAAATCAACTGAACATATCTGTCTTACCTTTACAATATTGAAGCTCAGGTTAGCTACATGTACACAACCATTCATGCATCAATATAAGGATTATTTACACAAGCTATGTCAAAAATATATTCTTAATAATGATTACCGCTAACAATCCCCCTGTAAAGGTGGCTAAAGAAAGCGTCCCCAGGTTCAGCCATGAGGACCACCATCGACAGCACCAGAAAGACGGTGGTGCACTTCATCCTGTAATCAAACAAACACATGTTTATACCGCCTTTGTCATGGTTTATTTGTGATATTATATATACAATTGTAATTATCAGATACTCACTTCTTTCCTCTAATTGATGTCGAGCAGTGTGAGAACTACAGGTGGTGTAAATCTTTATGGGTTGGTGGATAGTTGACATCTCTTTTTATAGCGTGGGGTGATTTCGCTTACTCATGTACAATGTTTTGCAAGGTGAAAAACACCAAGAGGAAGTTTAACTCAATGCAATGATGTCTTAATGATTCTTTTAAATAATAATTAGGGCCGGGACTTTAACGCGTTAATTAAGATTAATTAATTACACAAAAATTAACGCGTTAAAAAAATTAACGCATTTTAATCAATCAATCAATCAATCAATCAATCAATGTTTATTTATATAGCCCAATATCACAAATGTTACATTTGTCTCAGTGGACTTTACAGTTTGTACAAAATATCAGTATGACAATACGACACCCTCTAATCGCACTTATTTTTGCACCGCGGAACGTTTCTCACTGGATGAGTTTCAGGCGTACCGATTATACTGGAGCACCAACTAACGTTCATGACTTCAGACAACAACAAACCACAGTGAACAACAGTGGGAAATGTTGTTTTAAAAAACGGACGGATGGAAGCGTCGATAAGAGCACGGTTGTGTGCAAATTATGCAAAAAGGAATTCGCATATCACCGCAGCACATCAAGCCTCAAGTATCACCTCAATGCAAAACATATAGCAGCTAGCGTGGAAGCTAGCGTGGACGTTAGCCTTTTTTATCGCGTTCACACCAAAAAGAGCCGGTACTAAAATTAGTTCATGAGAACCTTTTTACCCCCACGAAAGTCCCTGCTAGAGAGCAGAGAGCTGCTAGAGAGCAGGGACTTTCGTGCGGCTCTCTTGTGAGAAAAGAGCTATATTTCTGATTGGCTGGGCGGATTGTAAACCACGCCCCGTAAAACTCCCAAAAAGTTTTGTGAAGCCGCCATTTTATTATCCTCGCATTAGCATTATTAGCATTAGCCCAGCGCAGAAACGCAGAGAGACTAACTTCTGGCAACACAAAATAAAACATGGGAGCGGTGGAGATGAGGAGGTGTCGGCGTTCTGGCGATTTACTCGGAAGGCTGCTGGGACTCCCAGCAGCTTCTACTGAAGCCAGTCCCTAACTCCGGGGACTTTGGGCGATAGTATACGCCGTGAAGTGGTTTGCGGCCTGCCAGTAAAACCAAAGAAGAAGAAGTGACGTCAGCGGCTTCATTTGCCTAATCCCCCAGGTTCAAAGAGTTCTCATGAACTAAGTTCTCATGAACCTTTGTGGGAAAAGTACTGCGGTGTGAATGCGCCTAATGGTATACTAAAATCCATGTGAAAAAAATTGCTTCTCACTGTTCTTAGGTCAAATATTTATATGTGATTAAAAATGCGATTAATTTCGATTAATTAATTACAAAGCCTCTAATTAATTAGATTAATTTTTTTAATCGAGTCCCGGCCCTAATAATAATCATCAAAAAAGCAGCTTATTTTAAATGCAGAGCTTGCCTGGGAAAGGTTTTGATTGTCAGACTTTGAAAACCTATGCTCTGTCTAAATTCTTAATGTTTGTTTCTTCTTTGTGTAAACAAATATTTTCCGATACCGGCCTTAAAGGTCACCTATTATGCTATATTTGAACAATAACATATAGGGCCATATCTATACAAAAAAATGTCTCTAAAGTGTTTTGCTGAAAATACCACACAGATCACCCATTGTAGCCATGCCTCATGCCCCTTTATTTCAGAACTGTTACAAAAGTGGTGATTCTGGGTCTGGCCCTTTAAATGTAAATGAGCAGCTGCTGACCACGCCCATTTGGAGCTGCTGGCCACGCCCATTTGGAGCTTCGCATCAATTGTTATTTCTAAACCAGTATTGAGTTCAAACGCTTTCTCTCTCGCAGGATTACCACAAGGACAGTACCTTTTATATCCTGCTTTTTTGCACATATTCTCTCCAGTACAGCGTTAGCTCTGAGTGTTAGCGATGCTTGCTAATGTCAACACAGATCATATTACTTCCAAAACATGTCGCACATTGTTTCTGATACAGCACATAGCTTGACATTCTTTCTTTATTCAGTGTTTACCGCTAGAACAGTGCCATTGTGTGTATTATATAACAACTTAACTCTAAGTCTCATAGACATCCTTTAATGTAAAGTCAGCACACATTTTAGTATCAAAGTCAAGTTCTCAGCAAATCTGGATCAGCTCCGTTGTACCCCCGTTTTTAGAGTTGTGGGTAAGGAGGAAAAGAGAGAGGGTTGTATTTTCTGACACTTTGAGTCTCCTTACACACTGGGGACACATTTTTATATATGCAAAGACATCAAAAAGTGCATTTTGCATATTAGGTGACCTTTAAATAAGACACAGGAAAAATTGCTTGCTGCATAAGAAAGAAGATTTATTCCAAATTACATTTATTCAATTTCATTTGTCATTATTAGATAAAAAGCGATTCATTTTCAAAATGTTAAGCGTAGTTCAACATCGTAGACTCAGGCAAACGCTCGCTCTCGGTCAAACGCTTGTTGGTCCATCACTTCCTGTTCCCTCATCGCTTCCTTCATCGCTTCCTGCTCCCCATGGTTTCTCCCGGTGATGAGTCTGATGATGAAGAGAGGATTCAGAGAGTTCAGTTCAGATGTTTAAAACCAAGCCAACAAGAGCATTTTTAGAGAAATAAGAGAAATATCAAGAAGAAGTCGTTACCCATGGATATGTTTGCCAACTAAAAAGAGAGAAACAAAGACATGCATTATTATTTGTAGTATTTCGAAGTAATCTAATTCATCATAAAACATTGTAAGCCCTTTTAAAATGTCATTAAAATATTACAGCTACAAAATTGATAAAAAAAATATAATTGTTTGCAATAAAGTTAGTTCCTACTTGATTAAAATAGAAGTACATACAGACAAAACTCACTGTTTTAGACTGGCTTTTAATATGTGATTATTGTTGTATCCTAGTGTGATTTTATTTTGACCTTTTATGTTTTTATCTTTGCAAGCACTTGATAAATAATTGTTATTATTATTAGTATGATTATTATTTTAATTATTATTATATTCTATATATCTTTAGATATCTGACAGCTTTCAAAATCAACTAAACATATCTGTCTTACCTTTACAATATTGAGGCTCAGGTTAGAACAACCAGTCCTGCATCAATATAAGGATTATTTACACAAGCTATGTCAAACGTTTAATTTGTTTTTGTTTTTTAATGATTACCGCTAATAAGCCCGCTGAAGATGTGGCCAAAGAAAGCGTCCCCAGGTTCAGCCATGAGGACCACCATCGACAGCACCAGAAAGACGGTGGTGCACTTCATCTTGTAATCAAACAAACACATGTTTATACCGCCTTTGTCATGGTTTATTTGTGATATTATATATACAATTGTAATTATCAGCATAAATGAAGGAAGATGTGATACTCACTTCTTTCCTTTAAATGATGTCGAGCAGTATGAGAGCTACAGCTGGTATAAATCTTGGTGGATAGTTGCCTTCTCTTTTTATAGCGTGGGGTGATTTTGCTTACTCATGGTTTGTACAATGTTTTGCAAGGTGAAAAACACCAAGAGGTAGTTCAACTCAATGCAATGATGCACAAGTGCAATGATGTCTTAATCTTTTATTTTAAATACTTATCATCAAAAAATTGGCTTATTTTAAATACAGAACCTTGCCTTGCCTACATAAATATTATTCAATACCGGCCTAAAATAGAGTTGTATTTTATATATATATATTAGGTTACAAATGATCCCTTTAGTTCACTTCTGCTTTGCTTGTGTCATGCACTAACATACAGTCTTTGTGCTACAGTGTCAAACTCAAAAGTCAACTTTGTTATCAATCTTTCAGTTTGTGTGTACAGACAGAGAGATCGAAATACTGTTTCCCACAATCCCGAATATAAAAACTAATGTATATAGAATATACAAATATGAAAATACAAATATGTGTGCAAATGTGTATATGTATACACAGTCAAAGTCACATGTTTACATGTGCACACATTAATACCTAAATAAAAACACAACAATCAATATATACAAAATAACAGTCACTTCAATATTTTGAGAATGTACATTAGAGTATCTTCCTTACAGCTAAAATGTTGTGTCTTTGACTTTTGCCACTATTTGTTTTCCAATATGTTAGTGTGGTACCTTAGCATATGATACCTAATGAGGTCTTTCTCCCTATAGGGACTAAGTCTGTATGCTGAGTTTCGCAAAATAAAACCCTGAGGTCACCGCCCTATTCACTTCTTTGAATTCAGTGAATAAAGTAGTTCAACTCAGGGTGAAAAAGACATCATACATTTTCCTAAATGTCTAACTTGTTCTCATTATACTGTATGTTCACTTCTTTAATGATTTTTACGTTTGAAGTCATGAGTAGTATTTATTGGATATGCATATTATGTTATGAAGAATTACGAGCTACTTATCAGCTCATTTCATCTTTCAAGTTAGAGACTTTTACTTAACACATTGATTACATTAAGTTGCTATCTCTAGCTTTGGTATTTTTTATTACTCTAAATTGTATTTTATTGACATGCTATTATTTAATGTTTTAAAAAAAAAATACATATATATGCATAATTGTTAATTTTTTACAAGTAGGCGCACATACAGCCAACTCAACAATAAGTATTTTTACTAGTTTTCTTTACTAAGTAAACTGGAAAGGGACTCCTTTGACAATACTCAAAATTAACTGAACATATTTATCAGTATTACATTTAATTATAAGTTATACAGTGCATTTCTAGCTATATCATGGCAAAAATGATAAAGTATGGAAGAAAAAAAAGTTGTGTCCTTGACTTTTTTCCAATATGTTAGTGTGGTATATACCTTAGCATATTATACCAAATGAGGTCTTTCTCCCTATAGTGACTAAGTGTTTGAATTTGTCTGTGGCATTTTTCATTGAGCAACTCAGAGGTTGCTTCGCTTGGTATTTTCTCAAGTCTCTAAAAATACTCTTTTAATGTGTCATGCTTAGTTTTGGCTGTGAGACTCTTCTAGATTCTTAAGATTATATCTTATTTTTAATACTTTCAGTAGGCCACTATGAGGTGACTTTAAGGTATTATATTTAGCAGTTTCTCAAACTTTAGTTAACTCTGAATTCTCTGGGTTTTTGAAAATCTATTTTACATTTTTGGTATATGTTCATTGGATACTAATTAAGGTATACTTGTGTAAACTCCTTCATGTAATTATTTTAGTATGGATTGGTTTTGGTATTGATGCAGAATTAAACCAAACAGCTCCGACTTTCATATCATGAATGTTAGTCAGCAATAATTATTCGAAAACAGATGAGTTTACTTGGAACTAAGCCTGTTCCTTTTTCATCAGAATTCACAGAAATGTGGAACTTGTATGTGTTGATTTCAAGATAACATCTGAAAACAGTGTACAACTCATTCTTACTAACAGGTCTGCCTTTTCTAACTAACATGCTAAGTTGTGACCTTAGAAAAGAATAGCAAGGTATTTCGTCATGCAACTTTAAAAGGCCCAAAAACATTTTATAGTGTGTACTTGGGCAGCCTTGGTCTTACTGATATTAACACAGAACAACCCAACGCTTGATCTGTGAGAAATGACTGAGAAGAGGCATGTAAACTGAAAATATCCGTGGGCCGAGAATGGATCCCTGTGGAACACCCTTATTTGATCAAGCCACAGAGGAACTTTGGCTCTGTGGGAGCAATACAAATACAATACTTTGTTTCAAAATGTGTCTAGAGATCACTTTAATCAACTTGATAAAATCAGCATTCAATCCAACAAAACATAGAATGAGTGCTTCAATCAATCAATAGGATACGGCTGTAGTAGGCCTAGGGCCTTGTAGTCGCTCATAAATAAGTAGATCACTGTTCTTTATATACTATGGAAGCTGGCAACAGTCACATAGTCCAAAGTGAAGGTGATGTTTGACCAGTAATGGTCGAGGCGGGACTTGAGACAGTTAACAGTCTTGGATGTGACAACGCTTTCTGGCAGATCATTCCACAAGTCAACCACACGCAGGCTGAAAAAGTTGCGGTGGATAGTCAGTCTTGAGTACTGTTTCTTCAACTTGAAGCAGTGAGGAGGCGTGTGGCATAGTGGGTTGTCCGTAGGTGTTCGGATCAGGGGGTCACAGGTTCAAATCCCACTGCAGTCAGCATGTCGTTGTGTCCCTGGGCAAGACACTTCACCCCAAATTGCTCCTGGGAATTGTCCACAGTATTGAGTATGTAAGTCGCTTTGGATAAAAGTGTCTAATAAGTAACATGTAATGTAATGTCCACGAGTCCTGGTGTTATAATTCCGTTGTAGTGGGCATGATGTTGTGGAGATATTTGAAAACTTCGATCATATCTCCCCTCGCCCTACATACTCGGGATCTTAAGACTTCGCAGTCGTTCTTGATATGGCAGGTCATTTAGTTCTGGAACCAGCTTCGTTGCCCTTCTCTGTATTTTCTCGATGAGCTTAGCATCCTTTTTGTACGTGGGGGACCAGGCGACATTCCCATACTCGAGTAGCCGTTCAAGAGAGGTGTATGAACTACGTACTACGCAGGCCCGGTTCCAGAACAACATGACTCAGGGTGCATCTGAGATTAGAGAGGGTGGTAAAGTGCTATTTGTATAAGTGGGGAGTGGACCTAACACCCTCTAGAAGGGTCCTCACTTCCTCTAGGGGGGTCCGGGGGCATGCTCCCCCGGGAATATATATTTTTAAATATTGAAGTTAAAAGCATCAACCTGGTGCACTTTGAGAGCAAAATTAAGAGATCTATGGATCTATGTGCTCTTTGCTTGATGCATGCCTTCCCAGTCCCTTATCACGTACAAGAGCATAGCGCCAGTTGTTGTAGCCAATTGTGGTGAAGGCATCTGACTTACTTGAACCAAAATGTCTACATGCATAGCAGAAGATGGCATATTTTTTACATGAATATTCCAGCCAATCTCTGTTTTGAAACCATGAGCTGCAAAATGATCGCCTTATCCCACTGTACATGCAAGTTAGGAACTTTTTTAAATACCTGCAGGCTCTGTTTTGCCGAGGTCCTCTGGCACTTGCGGGCCGCTGAGGGGTGGCGGTGTTTGGGGCAACGAAGACGACTGCGGCTGCTCCGCCTCCGTGGGCGAGGCGGGCAAAGCCGGCAAGTCGGGCGTTAGTGTCCACGACAGTAATGTAATGTCCCCATGATCTGAACTGTTATTACCTGCAGTAGATGCAGTGTTACTGCTGGCGATAAGGGCTGGTTGTTTTAACCATTTTCTGATGTCCATCATTGACTGCTGTGTAAGCACCTGACATAATAACGTTACTTACCGTTTAAATTGACCAAATAAATGCAGCAGACAATGTTATTTAACCACAATTACAATTTATTTTATTTCAACTATATTATTATTATTATTATTATTATTATTATTATTATTATTATTATTATTATTATTATTATTACTACTATTATTATTACATATATCATATTTTTCACTTTTCATTTTTTTCACTTTTAATTATTTATTTTTTCTTCCACTTTTCATTTTTCAAATGAGGGTGCATAACGACTCAACTGAGGGTGCAATGCACCCTTATGCACCCCTGTAGAACCGGGCCTGGTACTACGTCAGAGTCCAAATAAGTGTATGATCTGCGGATCATTGCTAGGATACCATTCGCTTTGTTAGCTGCCCGATGGATATGGTCACTAAATGTCAGGGTATTATCAACATTCACACCAAGGTCCTTTTCATTCTGAGTCTCAGATAGGTTTATATTGTTTGAATCATCACCCATATTATACTCATGTTTTGGGTTCAGAAAACCTAAGCATTTTGCTGCATTGAATTTGAGCTGCCAACACTCGGACCGTCTTTGCATTTCTCGTTTCTCTTTTTCTGCATCCTCCTTACACTTAATTACCTTGAAGACTTTAATATCATCTGCAAACATCTGGACCATGGAGCTCACATTATCGGGTATAATAATAGGTTGTTTGAGTCAAGATGCATTTATCCCAGAATAAGAGTCATCTCTCTCCACAATTCCGCATTATCCCATAATGTCTCGTTGAGATCGGCAAGGCCGTTCATTCATACGATGTTAATTGGGCACCCATTATGAGACACAATTCCCCACTCACCGCCCCAGTTGTAACTCCAGTATAGGAGGAACAGTGGGTTACGTATTGTAACTGTAGTTTTAGAGTGATGTATGAAAAATGCATTCATTAAAAACGATTGCATTTATCCCAGAGTAAGAGTCATCTCTCTCCACAATTCCACAGTTCCCCATAATGTCCGTTTCAAAGAGACGGCATTATGACGAGACGCGCGTCTCATATAGAAGAGAGGCAAATCTATCATCCTGAGGGGAGATAGGTTTTGTCTCGGCAGAGGTTCAGGCCCTGTTGCAAAAACAAGCAGTGTCTGCTGTGCGTGCTCGAGACAGAGAGGAAGGGCACTATTCCCTGTACTTCCTGGTTCCCAAGAAGACAGGAGAATTCAGGCCC